TTTCAACTAGATCGATCAATAACTTTTTGAATTACAGCACAAGCATTTTTTGAAAATGTAGTTTCGAGATAATCGCGTTTAAAGTTTCAATCCGATAAAACTTTTAGTTTTAGTGACTTACCGATCAATCAGCGATTCCAGACGTATACAGGGTGTGTCTTAAGCCCAGGACAAGAGACATACCGTTAGATCCGGCGTGAAAAAATAAAAATATTGGCGTTAACAAAAATCAAAAATTTTAATCAGTTTATTAATTATTACAGATTAAAGTAAGCCAATCATAAGCGCGGGAGAACCGGCAACTCTTCCTCAGTCTCCTCCCATTGGGGACAGCCAATCATTTACTTTCCGACAAGAAACATTTTACACTATTCTTTTGTTTATTTGCGTTACTCTTTTGTTTATTTACGTTAGTATATTTACGTATCCACCGGTCACTGTTTTTGTGGGGAAATAAATGATTGGCTGTCCCCAATGGGAGGAGACTGAGGAAGAGTTGCCGGTTCTCCCGCGCTTATGATTGGCTTACTTTAATCTGTAATAATTAATAAACTGATTAAAATTTTTGATTTTTGTTAACGCCAATATTTTTATTTTTTCACGCCGGATCTAACGGTATGTCTCTTGTCCTGGGCTTAAGACACACCCTGTATACGTCTGGAATCGCTGATTGATCGGTAAGTCACTAAAACTAAAAGTTTTATCGGATTGAAACTTTAAACGCGATTATCTCGAAACTACATTTTCAAAAAATGCTTGTGCTGTAATTCAAAAAGTTATTGATCGATCTAGTTGAAATTTTGGGAGGTTATAACATTATCGGAAGGGTGTACCTAAATTTTTAAAAATATCGCGTAAATAAATTACTTTCGTGGGGTAAAAATTGTCGAAAATTTGAACATTTGATTAAAAAACCTACTTAATTTTTAATTTTATACTTTTTTTTATAGTTTTATAGGTTTAAACTTCCCCGGCATATGTCAGTAATCGGAAACAAAAATTTTTGTTTTAGATCAATATAAAAGATATGACAAATACAGCACTTTTCGATGCCAAGCAAAAGACGCCTGAAAAAATACCTTACAGAGCCGCCATTTTGTTTTATAAAAAAAAATGTTTTTCTACACTACAAAGCTGTAATGAAATACTATCAAAATTTTAAAATGAAGCGATTATTTTATCACCTTTAAAAATATTCATCAAAAATGACTCATTTTCGAGCGTCCACATTGTTTTCTCCCCTTAACGTAGCTTGAGCATATTTTAGAAATAATTTAACACCAGTAAAAAACTATTAATCGGTGATTGCATGAATTATATTGTTATTATTAAAGTAAAATCAAACCAAATTGAATATTTATATAATGTTCTGTGTATATACACAGATCAATATGTACCATAAACAAATATCGCTTTACATGAACACGTAACTAAATACTGTCGGCAAGACCCATACCACGTTGAATACACCATTCTCGTCCAGTCTCGTGCGGACCGTAGTAAGCAGCGGATGTGCTCAGTGCGGTGCAGTGCGGTGCTTTTGAAATCTGACGAATGAGTGAAATACTAAATAGAAAAATACCACTTAAAACAAAGATACAGTGTGATAAAACATTGCGTTATCAAAGAATCATTAATAGAAAACAAAAATACAATAATATATAATAATCATTGTGGGTGAAGAGCCACCCAAAAGTCCTGACGAAACCCTTAATGGGAAACTAACGACGAATGAATTAAAAGATGTATTCATCACCAAAAAAAGAAAAATAAATAACATAGACATGAGCTCTATAAAAAAGAAAAGGCAAGACGGGCAAAATAGGGGCATCGCAATTGAAAACCGATTCTTCGCCCTATCGGATGAGAAAGAAGAAGATGAGGCCTCCGATATGGAGACGAACGAAGACCCAAGCCTGGCGCCTCCGAAGGACAAAGGACCAAGCAGAACGCGCAGCACTAACCCAAAGAAGCCCCCTCCACTAGTCATTCATGAAATAGTGGAGTCGCATGCAAAGTTTGTGAAAGTACTGAAAGACATCCTCCAGGAAAAATTCCACGTGAAGTACCACAAAGACTGTACAGAAGTGTTTACATCGAATAAAGCAGATTTTGAAAAATTGAAAAGCATTTGGGAAAGGAACGAATACCAGTTTCATACACACACCAATAAACAAGCTAAACTGTGCACCTTCGTAATAAGAGGATTACATAAAAACACAGATTTTCAAGATTTAAAAACCGAACTTGAGTCCCTCAATTACAAGGTGCACAATATAAACCCAATGAAAAACACAAAACAGCCAATGTTCATGATTACATTTAATGAAAGCATCAAACTGAAGCAAATGCAACAAGAAATAAGCTATCTAGGATATACGAAAATCACGTGGGATAACTTCATAAACAAGAGAAGAATCTCTCAGTGCCACAGATGCCAGGCATGGGGCCATGCTGCCACTAACTGTTACGCCAGGCCGGCCTGCTTAAAATGTGCCGGGGTTCTCACGCGCTTATGATTGGCTTACTTTAATCTGTAATAATTAATAAACTAATTAAAATTTTTGATTTTTGTCAACGCCAATATTTTTATTTTTTCACGCTGGATCTAACGGTATGTCTTTTGTCCTGGGCTTAGGTAACAATCTGTATTAGAAACCTTCAGCCTCCTCTGAGAGTTGATTATCTTCCATCTGCTGTTGTTTTCGAGCTGTACGAGCTGCTTTTGTCTCAGAAAGACTCATCCGATTCTGTCTTGCTACTCGCGGCTCATCGGTGTTTTCGGCGAAAACTTTCGAGTAGGTGCCCACAATTATATTTAACTTTTTCATAACTCTGAGAATGGAGGTGTAGCCTTAATTGAATATCCCAGCAGCAATATAGGGTGAGATTACAATCATTTTTAGTCCAGAATGCAGGTGTTTTGGAGATAATCGCCAAACTGTCGCGTTAAAACTTTCATTAGCATTCTGGGTATGGTCACCCAAGTATCTTTCATGTAAATCATCCATAGACAAATCTTTCTAAATTAGTAGGAGATGCTGCTTAATCTCGTCGCCAAGTAATGGAGTAAGATCTTCAAACATGTATACATAGATATTGTAAAAGAAACGTTGCTCCACCCCAAGCGCTCCTGACTACCTGACTCGCTAGTTTACGGTGTGCGGGCCCCGGCGCTGTCGACTATGTGCGATATCTCCGTAAATATTTAATATTTCGATTTTTCCTATTTCCAGTATACTCTTAATATATTATACTTCCGAAGTATGAGGAAAAAATCGATTTTTTGAAAATTGTAAATGGTGTTTTCCCCTTAATTTGACATTTAAAGGACCATCTCAACATGCGAGCTGCAACAAAATGTTCCTTAACATGTAATTGATTATTTTCACTAAGAAATGGAACAGGTTTAAAATTTATAAAAAATCAAATTGAACATTTTGCGTCAATTTTTTCCCTCAGCCTCGTACAGCGTCAATCGAGTTCAATTTACGTATTACTTATTATGTGTGAACCCTGTCTAGAACTGATGCGCTTGATTATCATCTCCACCACAAAATAGTTTTTCTTCATCAACCTCTTAATATTAAGTGGAGATATATTTCATTGAGATATAAAATCCGAAAATGTCGAAACAAAAGATTTTGAAACGCATAAGTCGAACTCCTGTGAAAGCCATCTGGAGAATATAGATAGTAATTCAGAATTCTATATATATCTATATATCTTAATATATATATATTAAGACAAAAATCAGAGTCAAAACGCAGGTCTTTTCCAACATGGCCTTTTTCCCCGGGGATTCGAAAGGGGTTTGCACATGTATTAGACATATATATTTTGTGACGTTAAAATTCACGTCGCAAGTTCCCGAGTAAAGAACTAGCGTGTTTGAAATACGGGACGCATTACCGTCCCTCGGGAGAGTCCCGAAAGGTACCGGCCAAGAACTCCAGGGTCCAAAATCGTAGTAGAATTACATAAGGTTAATTATTTTGTTCCGTACAACTATTTCATGCGTTTCGTATCCGGCCACCACCACCATCAACGTTTCACCCAGGGAGTAAAGAGCAGCCACGCCTAGACAGACCATCAGTCGCAGCCTCGCTCGAAGGAAGTAGCCACCAGTCCCGCGAGGGACCGTGGAGACGCACTACGTCATCAGGCGCCTCCACTCCGCAGCTGACGGCCCTCGAATCAAGTGGGAAGCCGAGACAGCATAAGACATCGCACTGGATCATACCGATCTCGCATTACCGCCGGTACGGACGTCCTGCCAAGGGAACGCCAACAGTACCGAAGAGGATGGAAGGCTCTGGAAGCTGTCCAGGTGCGAGGGATCGCTATCCTCCACCACCTATCCGTCCCGACCGGAGTCCGTACGAGAACCAACTCCGGACGAAGTATCCGGACACCCTAGCTACGGCAACGAGTTGTGACATCCCGAAGAGTTCCGAGTCCAGCGAACAGGATCCGTCGCGAGGACTAGGATTAAGAATAAACTAGCGGAACCGTCCTCCAAAGTAAAGAATTGTATCGTTTACAATGAGGCTCCGGTTATAGACGTTATATCGTTCCGCGTCCTTCTCGTAGGGTTAAGTTGATAGAAATTATTGATACAATTATCGTAAGATGTATTTGAATCCAGTGGCATGTTTTGAAGTTAGCGCAAGGGCCTACAATTGGCGAGTACCTTCGACGTCGATGATTAGCCCAGGAGGGCCCGGCGGGGATGAGGGAGCTGGCGCTGGCCCCGAGTCCCGAAGAACTCCCGAAGATATTCATTCTCTATTAGTTAGCCGTCTTGGCCGGTGGTTTCGTTTCGAACAAGTTATACCGTAGAAGAAATATTGTATCGTTCACGGTAAGCGTCTCGTCGTCGAGAGGACGAAATCTTTTCCATCGGTGTATCTACTGTTTAATTGCGAATTTGTATCTCTGTATTATTTTCCTCCCGGTTTCGGCCTAGGAGAAGATCGCGTAGCATACAGTAGTCCGAAGATATTCATTCTCTATTACTTTGCCGTCTTGGCAGGTGGTTTCGTCCTGAATAGTTGTATCGTAGAAGACATATTGTATCGTTCACGGTAAGCGTCTCGTCGTCGAGAGGACGAAATCTTTTCCATCGGTGTATCTACTGTTTAATTGCGAATTTGTATCTCTGTATTATTTTCCTCCCGGTTTCGGCCTAGGAGAAGATCGCGTAGCATACAGTAGGAAAAGATTCTGTGCCTACCGCTTGAACTACCTACTTGTTATAATTTATTGTCTATAGTATATGTCGGCTATCGCCTTACTCTTGGTGACCCTGGAGAATCGTAGAGAATCTGTTTATCACGCTTCCCGTGATAGACTCGTAGGACGTAGAAATAAGTAGCAAGGCATATTGTTGAAGAGCCTACAGTATTAAATAAGATATTGATATTCTCTACACGTAATTATCATTTTTATGAATCTGTAACTATTTTTCTTCTTGTCTCCAGAGTTTCGTATAGTACTATTGTATATTATTTATTCTGTGTGGATTCGTATGTTCCATATTCTTTGTGTTTCATTATTCTTGTTAATTCCGCCACTCGAACCGATCCGTTCCGTTATTCGCCAGAATCGTGTGTTTAGCAACTACGTCTCAGGGCGTAGATAGAGTCGACCTTCGTACGCGTAACTCAGTATCGGCAACAGATTAATTCTCGGTAGCTAACGTAATATCGTATTTTGTTATTTATCCACGCGTCCCGTAAGGAATCCCGTATCGCGTGGCTTACATATTATTGGTATCGAAATTACCATTTCATTTTGTTATTATTGTTAATTCTTATAAGTCCCAAAATAAAGGGCCCATTGTTATTTTGTTACCGTTTAATTGGAAGTTCTCAATCTTTATTCAGCGTACCATCTATAAGACCCCCTCCCCTCTACTATCACGTTGCGATCTAGCTGGCTTGGCTAATTTCCTTCTATCCCTCGTAATCTTCCTATGCAGTCTCGTGGCATAAAGGTGTGCCCGGCGCCCATGAGCATTTAATATTCCGAATTCCTAGATCTCGGGGAAAAGAAATGAGGATTGTAATTTGTGACGGTATCGTTCCGTCTGGCGTGAAAAATTAACGTCACAATATATATATTATAAATGAGTTGAATGAGTAGTGTAAAAAAGGAAGATGAATTTTAACGGCTATCAAAATCCAAGACTAAACCTTCGTGTTTAAAACAAGAACATATAAAACATGGAACTTATTAAAAACACTGTCGCAAGAATAATAGATAGATATTAGGTATATTATTGTTCGAACGGAAACCATAATATAATCTAAATTTTGATTTGTAAAAGAGGTGACGAATAAAAATTAACTAGTGCATACAATGGTAAAACGATTTGCTCCATTTACATATTGAAAAAGTTTGTGGCCCTGAAAAGGGCCCTTGTGTAGTGTACGAACAGTAGCTGAGACTCGAAGAAACAGATTAACCACCAAAGCCATAGAGAGTGCGTCCTTGACGTTTCAGCGCATAGACCACGTCCATGGCAGTGACAGTTTTCCTCTTGGCATGTTCGGTGTATGTGACTGCATCACGGATGACATTTTCCAGAAACACTTTAAGAACACCACGAGTTTCTTCGTAAATCAGGCCAGAGATACGTTTAACACCGCCTCGACGAGCCAAACGGCGAATAGCCGGTTTCGTGATTCCTTGGATGTTGTCACGAAGAACTTTCCTGTGACGCTTCGCTCCTCCCTTTCCCAAACCCTTTCCTCCCTTTCCGCGGCCAGTCATTATCAACAACGAAATTCAATAGAAACTCTCTCGAAGAAATATTCCGTAGAACTGATGCAGTAGCTAGGATTCGAGAGCTATTTATACTCGCTCCTATGCGTATCCCCACCACTTACCGACTGGCCAATGAGCGTCGAACTCAACAATCGGTCGAGTCTATAAGTCAGTGACCAAAGTTGACGCTGTCATACTGCATTTGAATTTTATGGTGTAAAGTTCTATCGACCCACAGTGAAAGAGATATTAGCTGAACATGGCTCGTACGAAACAGACTGCTCGCAAGTCAACTGGAGGAAAGGCTCCTCGGAAACAATTGGCTACGAAAGCTGCACGTAAAAGTGCACCAGCTACCGGAGGAGTTAAGAAGCCTCATCGCTACAGACCAGGAACCGTCGCTCTGCGTGAGATTCGTCGCTATCAGAAGAGCACGGAGCTGCTCATTCGCAAACTGCCCTTCCAGCGATTAGTCCGCGAGATCGCTCAAGACTTCAAGACGGATCTTCGCTTCCAGAGTTCAGCCGTGATGGCACTTCAAGAAGCTAGCGAGGCTTATCTCGTTGGACTCTTCGAGGACACCAACTTGTGTGCCATCCACGCCAAGCGTGTCACCATCATGCCAAAGGACATCCAGTTGGCTCGCCGTATTCGTGGAGAACGTGCCTAAATACCGAAGGCATATAAAATAATAACGGTCCTTTTTAGGACCAACACTCTGTTATTTCGAGGAACATGCACATCCGTTTACACTCTGAAAGACGTTTCTAAAATTAATCAAACATGCCCACTCACATACACTTTACTATACTTTAGTCGAGGCTTATAAAATAAAAACGGTCCTTTTCAGGACCAACACTCCGTTATTTCGAGGAACATGCACATCCGTTTATACTCTGAGACGTTTCTAAATTCAATCCAAATATGCCCAGTAACATATATTTTACTGTACTTTAGCCGACATATATCTTACTTAATATTTTCATTATGCAGTAAATATTGTTTTTACTCTTAACATTCCTGAGGCCTGGTTGATTCCATATGAATGAATATTTTAGAGCTAATAACTTGCAATTTAAATATTTTCCCTAGTATTCATAACTCTAGCAAGAGAACTTGTGTAATAGCGGAAACGTTTATTTTCTTTAATTACCCTTAAGCAATCTTTTTCTAATTGTAATGTGGCTTTTCTCGAACTCTGAACTACTCTAATCTTTCGTTCCTTCATGTATCGGTATTCCCAATTCCGTAGCCGCTTTAAAACGTACAATGTTATAAAGTTGAAAATAAATAAAACGATACTTATGAAACTGTATGATATTACTTCAAAATTGAACCATCTTTCACGAAGTAAAGCATAAGAGGTTATAGATTTCATATAAGGAGGGAAAATTCGTTAACAACCCACGTAGAATAAAAAAGTACAGCAGAGATTCTCGTAAATATACTTGAGAATCATCTAGAGAATATGTCGTGACTGTTGAAGCTAACGTAAGAACTTTTTATGGTCCTGAAAAGGACCGGTTTATGGAAATTTGTAATTGAGCCAAGTAGCTTTACTTGGAACTGGTGTACTTGGTGACAGCTTTGGTTCCTTCACTGACAGCGTGCTTGGCCAGTTCTCCTGGTAGAAGCAGCCTCACAGCTGTTTGTACTTCGCGAGACGTGATGGTGGAACGTTTGTTGTAATGAGCCAATCGGGAAGCTTCGGCGGCGATGCGCTCGAAAATGTCGTTGACGAAGCTGTTCATGATGCTCATAGCTTTGCTAGAGACTCCAGTATCGGGATGGACTTGTTTCAACACCTTATAGATGTAGATGGCATAGCTTTCCTTCCTCTTCCGTTTCTTCTTCTTGTCGGTCTTGCTGATATTTTTCTGGGCCTTCCCAGCTTTCTTCACTGCCTTTCCGCTTGCTTTAGGTGGCATGATGCTTCGATCAGTTTATTATCACGCAAAGTCACTCGTACGAAAGATTCAACGAATGTGCTAACTGCCCGCTTGGGCACGCTCTTTATGGAGTAGCAGGGCCATGGGCGCACCAATCAGGCGCTAGCGCTTCCAACGCCAACGGTGAGACGCAATGGGATTGGAGCGCAGGAAGCGCCCTCTTTGCTACATAACTGTTCAACCGCTACCTTTTTATTCATTGTTGCTTCGCTTGTCGAACGAGTAGGTTGTTGGACGTTTGCTAGTACTATACAGAGAAGTCATAATGTCCGGACGTGGCAAAGGCGGAAAAGTGAAGGGAAAGGCAAAGTCTCGCTCCAGCAGGGCTGGACTCCAGTTCCCCGTCGGCCGTATTCATAGGCTCCTTCGCAAAGGCAACTATGCCGAGCGAGTCGGAGCTGGAGCTCCTGTTTACTTGGCGGCCGTTATGGAGTATTTGGCTGCTGAAGTGTTGGAATTGGCGGGAAACGCTGCACGTGACAACAAAAAGACGAGGATCATCCCACGTCATTTGCAGCTGGCCATTCGTAACGACGAGGAACTGAACAAGTTACTGTCTGGTGTGACCATCGCTCAAGGGGGTGTGCTTCCAAACATTCAGGCAGTTCTGCTACCCAAAAAGACCGAGAAGAAGGCGTAAACAGTGTCACTCAATTAAACAAAAATGGCCCTTATAAGGGCCGCAAAATGGTTTAACGTAGAATATGCACCTGATTCACTATTCGGTCGCCGTGTTCTTTAATCTCTTAATTCTGACTATAAAACAGTTAATGGATTATATTCATAGAAAGAAATTTATATAAACGATACCAATACATAAATTGAACTACTCCACCGGTATTCCAAGATAGCACATTGTCCGAAAATCAGTTTTAAGGCATTTATTATAGAATTCTCTTCATTGTTACACGTATTTAATTCATTGTAACTGGAATTCTCTTGATACTAGAAGGCAGTAGTATACTTTTTTACACCTGGAAGATTTTAAGAATAAATTCCCATAGTTGCAGTACGGCACTGCGGAAGTCGCTACTTCAGCCCAATCGACTTGTCATTTTAAATAGAGAAAAAACGAAGTAAAACATTTCCTTCACAAATCGTTGGCGTTGTACGTAAAAATCAATAACGAACGAGAATGCAACAATTACATTTCAATTCTTCGGTGATATCCAGGTGGAAGTATTGGATTCAATATGAATTGAACGCCGAATAAAAAGAGAAACTGATTGTTAAATACCCTCGTAAAAGGGAATACCCTGTAGAGACACCTGTACTTAAGGCGCCTGCGGACACATCACAAGTTGGAATATGAAATACGCGTTATCATGTTAGAGAATAGGGAACTCATCGATCTGGGTCGATAACGTAGAAATCACAGGGCCGTCTCATAAAAATAAAAATATGAGCAATAGCGAAACTGGTTGGCTGTTTAATTATTTGATTCAAGAAGATTCGAATTCTCTTGATACTAGAAGGCAGTAGTATACTTTTTTACACCTGGAAGATTTTTATAATGAATTCCTACAGTTGCAGTAGAACACTGCGGAAGCCGCTACTTCAGCCCAATCGATTTGTCATTTTAAATAGAGAAAAAACGAAGTAAAACTTTTCCTTCACAAGTCGTTGGAGTTGTACGTAAAAATCAATAACGTACGAGAATGCAATAATTACATTTCAATTCTTCGGTGATATCCAGGTGGAAGTATTGGATTCAACATGAATTGAACGCCGAATAAAAAGAGAAACTGATTGTTAAATACCCTCGTAAAAGGTAATACCCTGTAGAGGCACCTGTACTTAAGGCGCCTGCGGACACAGATCAGAAGTTGGAATATGAGATACGCGTTATCATGTTAGAGAATAGGGAACTCATCGATCTAAGTCGATAACGTAAAAATCACAGGGCCGTCTCATAGAAACAAAAGCATGAGCAATAGCGAAACTGGTTGGCTGTTTAATTATTTGATTCAAGAAGAATGAATATAGAGATAATAGAAGGTGAGTCATAATAATATAGGATGTTACTACAGCAGTTGACGGTTTCTAATGGACTGGAGTATGTCCAAGATACATAAGTGTTCTTTTTGTAACCGGTGCAAGTTTGAAAATTCATAGCTGGACGGCTAATAAAATTATCGTGAAACTGTTACACAGTGTATTTTCCATCCGTCCGCCGAAATCTATGCTTCGTTATTATATCAGCTAACGCATATGTGGCAACAAATTCATTTAAAGTACGTCACGGAAAGTTCATAGATTTTATATAAGGTGAAAAACACGTTTCCTCGCGTGTAACATCATTATTCAAGACGGCTAGTTTGGGTCCGGAGGAGTCTTAATTCAGAGATTTCAGCAATTCTTATGAAGACAGTAAACAAAAGAGACAAATATTCTTCGTCGCCATGAAACACAGTAGGTTCAGTTATGGCAGTACTGGAACTCGGTTTCTGATTATTGCTCAATGCGTGTGAGGAAAGAGTAGACAGAGGTCAATTGTTTAATAATATATTGACGCCCGCAAGTTATTTGCTGATGTTCATTATCAGTAATCGCTGACGAAAAGAGCTTTTGTCACACCAGGTGTTAAAAAGAAATCGAAGTCTAAGGGCCGTATTGATAGCCGAGTCTTATTTTTAAGGCCACCTCAAGATTGGGCTTGAGACGCTATGTAGAATCATAGACACCAAACAAGATAGCTTTAAGACACGCCTCAAGTTCTACGTTGGAGATAAAGATCTTGACTGAACATTATTCGCAGACACTACTTAAGATCATCGTAAGCAGTCTTGACAGTGATTCTATTCATAAACAAATTAGACCGTGATTTTTTAATTTGACGTTTGACTGGTCCTAAGACGATCTCGCTATAGTCAAAAGTTGATTGTAAATGAATTATGATGAATTTTCGTGATATTGACATTGCAGACACATGTTGATTTCGCTCTGATGTTGCACAGAGATTGTTTC